TGAATTTGATCCGTTGCGCAATTGGAAGCCAGTGGAGGGATTGGCAGAGGGGGGTGGCGGAGACAGAGCGGTTGGAAAGGTGAATGAGTCTGAAAAATAATGTCAGATGACGACCATCCTCTTGAATGCAGCTTTCAATCCTTCACTTGAAATTGTCCATCACTCAGGTCAACAGCTGTTGATCAATCATGAGCTCTTCTTGTTAGATGGCATCCTTCAATTCATTCAAATTACGGGGTATACACAAGGCTCTTCAGGTACCCCCATAGGAAGAAATCACATGATAACAAGTGAAAAGATCTTGGGGGCCATGACACATCACAGAACCGTGAAATTAGGTGCCCAGGGAACATGTTTCAAAGAACTTCCATTGGTGCGTTGGCAGTATGCGCTATGACACCACCCTACTGAAAAAAAACATTTCTCATGTTTATTCATCTAGTTCTGGTCGTAAGAAGTTGTTCAGCGTGTGAATGCAACATGCTGAATTAACAGTAAATGTTAGGCCGTTTTTCTCTCGAAAAAATATGGGCCGATAACTCCAAAAGGGGCAACCACATACCACACTTGGCTTCTTGCGTGTTCCTAGGATTTTCAGGAGCCCAGTAATGAAGGATCTGCTTATTTACTGTTCCATTCAAATGAAAATGAGCTTCATTGCTTATCATGATTATTGCATTTTCATTTTCTTCCAAGATTACTTGCATTCGCACAGCTAAGTCATTTCGTTGCTTGTAATCACTCACACGTTGAACAACCTGCATTTTGTATGGATGGAATTTTAAATCTCTCTGTAAAATGATTCTCACTGATTCACGACTCAACCCTAACTCACTTGCATGTCTCTGAGTAGATCGTCCTGGGTTCCTAACCAGTGCCTCTCTCATCCTTGCAATGTTTTTCGGTGTCCTTGCAGTGTGGGTGGGGCCTGGTAGCTTCTTGTTCATAATTTTCCAGTTGTTCTGAAATGTTCAACCCACCTGAGGAATGGCCTCAGGAATGGGAATGACCCCGTGTCGACCAACATTGAATTCTCAATGAAATAGCCATGTTAGACTCACCACTTCGAACAAAGCTGTGGTAAGCAAACAAACGTCCACTGCTTCATTGTGATTCAGTTGGCACTCCAGTGGGGGGGAAAAACATCTAGCTTGTCCCCTTCCCATCACCACTTATCTGTGTAATACCTGTCCTAAAAAACGTCCGACTCCCATCGGTCACCCTGTATAACACACAGCATTTGGCGTTTTTGGTTTAATTGCTTTAAGTATCTAAACTTTACAGCATCAACCAAAAATGTATCACCTCTATGTTCTCTGACCCTTTAACAGTCTTCATCTGGTGCAGGTTCCGAGGGGGTCTGGACGTGTCCCAAGGTCAGACGGGAACAGAGTCTGTGTACACGATGTTCCGGGGTCATGAAATCATGTTCCATGTGTCAACGAAACTCCCATACACCCCGGGGGACACGCAGCAGGTCAGTGCGGTTTGTAGCTTTGTTTCTTAGATTTATGAATGGTACAAGATGCGATCAGTATTGTCTCTTAGCATTATTACAGCTAAAGGTCTAAAAAAGCAAGGAACCACTACTAAGCCAATGGCTGTCTTCACAGGAAGCAAGGTGGCCAATTTTTGTAAGGTCCACCAGGACATGGACCCTTTAAGAAATTAATTTTTTTGCCAAAATAATCCAGCTACATTTGCTGCAGATTTAAAAAGCCTTGGCTGGTTTTTATGTCCTTTGGGGAACAGCAGAGCTTAACAAAACCCATTTTTTGGGAGGTTAGGTCCAGTCATGAAATGTTCTGTTATATTACAGCAATGCCGTTCCTTGCCACATTGCAGCAGCTGGAAGAAGTAGAGAAAAGAAGAGTACAAATGATCATATGGGGCAGCTTTATGCTCACTGGACAGACATGATGATGAATGAAGTATATCTAAAGCCAAAACTTGTTTTCCTGTTTTGGCTAGAATAGGGAAAGGTTAAACTCCTGTCAGAAGAAAAGGAATGAAGACCAAGGGAAAGAGATCCCTAAGGTCAAGGGATCACAATGAGGAGAAGTGTCCTTATTGGGACCCCTTGACCTTAGGGATCTCTTTCCCTCAGTCTTCATTCCTTTTCTTGTGCATTTACAGGTTCCGAGGACACCACATAATTACCGTATTTTTCGCTCCATAAGACGCACCTGACCATAAGACGCACCTAGGTTTTAGAGGGGAAAAAACAAGAAAAAAAAATATTCTGAACCAATGGACTGCAGACACAGTACAGGGGATGACCAGAGACTGCGAACATAGTACAGGGGATGACCAGAGACTGCGGACACAGTACAGGGGATGACCCAGAGACTGCGGACAACAATACAGGAGATGACCAGAGACTGCGGACACAGTGCAGGAGATGACCAGAGACTGCGGACACAGTGCAGGAGATGACCAGAGACTGCGGACACAGTGCAGGAGATGACCAGAGACTGCAGACAGTGCAGGAGATGACCAGAGACTGCAGACAGTGCAGGAGATGACCAGAGACTGCAGACAGTGCAGGAGATGACCAGAGACTGCAGACAGTGCAGGGAATGACCAGAGACTGCAGACAGTGCAGGGAATGACCAGAGACTGCAGACAGTACAGGGAATGACCAGAGACTGCTGACCTTTGGGGAGGGAGGGGGAGCGGGTACCTGAATTTGACAGGTACCCGCTCCCACTTCCGCGGAGTTGTCCTTCGCTCTTCTTTCCCGGGCCGGCTTCTGTGACATCCGGGTTCCCACTGCGCATGCGCGCGAGAAGTGCTGCGCTTTGTGAATGGCCCGGCGCCTTCTGGGACCTGTCATGTGTCCCCAGAAGACACCGGATCATTCGCAAAGCGCAGCACATGCGCAGTGGGCACCCCTGGCTGTCACAGAAAATAGCGCGGGAAGACTGTACAGCGCTGGAGCGAGGAACAGGTAAGGCCCTGCAGGAGATTGAACACAGCTGAGCGGCCGGCCCGGTATTCTGACAAACGGTGGCAGCAGCAGAAATACCGGACCGGCCGCTTTATATTCGCTCCATAAGACGCACTGACATTTTCCCCCCTTTTTTTGGGGGGAAAAAAGTGCGTCTTATGGAGCGAAAAATACGGTAATATACATGTGAGTTGGCTATGCTTGTTTTGTTATATTTGGGGTCACCATGGTTGGAACCCCTTAGATTTTTTTCTATTTTTCAGCCAAGGGCATCCCGGTTTTTTATAAGTAAACTCCTGTCAGGTTTTTTTTTCTGTTTTTTTGTTGTTTTTTTTCTTAGGTGATTGTAGCCGTATTAGTGCACTTGCGACAGAAACAATTGAGTACTGTCCGTGATACTTTTTTTATTTGCACTAATATACAATTTTCAGGACAAGCTTTTGGAGTATGTCCCCTTCTTCAAGGTCCAAGCAGTACTGCTTGGACCTTGAAGAAGGGGGACGTACCCCAAAAGCTTGTTCTGAAAATTGTATGTTAGTGCAAATAAAAAAAATATCACGGACAGTACTCAATTGTTTGCATTTTTTTTGTTTTTGATCAAAAAAAAAAACAAAACGTGTCGCACTCCACTTATAAATGTGAAATATACTCCACGGAATATATCCATAAACAATATATAATTCAAAATAATTTTCAATGAATTATAAATAACATATGTGAGTCCAACTTTGGTGTGCAATCCTTCTGAAACATCGTGCTTATTTCAAACACAATCCGTGATTATTAAGGTGTCTTCCTCTAGTGAAACATATAAAAAAGTCCACAAAAACTTTTACTTATGTGCTCCTTCACCAGTGTGCGCTCACCTGATTTATATGACCAAACCATTAAGTGAGGTCAAAAACAGCTTGTGTCCCTTTCAATGGACTTGGAAATGAATGGATTAGTATGTCCCTATCCCAGATGGATGGAGTATTTCCCTTTTTCCAGCAGAGGGTCTCGCCTATTCCTAGGGAGTCGGGACCTTTTCTCCTGGAGTTGGATGGATGGAGTTATCCCTCTCTCCTCTAGGGGGTCTCTTCACTCCTTTTTGACTTATTACTCTATGAATGTAGATGTCATGTAATCAAAGAATATATTATAGTACAGTATGGGGCAGCACAGTGGCTAAATGGTTAGCACTTCTGCCTGGCAGTACTAGGGTCGTTGGTTCGAATCCCAACCATGGCACCACCTGCCTGGAGCTTGCATGTTCTCCTCTGTGGGGTTCCTCCGGATATTCCGGTTTCCTCCCACACTCCAAAGACATCCTGGTAGGTTAATTGGCTCCTGTCTAAATTGTCCCTAGTATGTGTATGTATGGATGTGAGTTAGGGACCTTAGACTGTACACCCCTTGAGGGTTAGGGACTGATGTGAATGTACAATATATATGTAAAGCGCTGCGTAAATTGACGACGCTATATAAGTACCTGAAATAAATAATAATAAAATATAGTGCCTTATCTCCTTTAAAAATGTATTATTTAAAACAAAGTATAGTGCACTCACATGGTATACATGATAAAATCGCTTTTTGGTACAATATTATAGAATCCTCTGTGTGTTTTCCACACTCCTTATACTTGCTGTGTATTTTCCTTTAAGCATTTTTTTTTTTTAAATCTTCGATCTGTTGGAGGGATTTCTGACCTATACACAAAATATGAAGTGAATGGAAGACTCTCCAAAGCGAGGAAAGTACCCTCTTGCCAGTTTTGCACTCTTTATACTGTAAATGTGTCATTGATACATTTCACCAGTAGGTGGCTCTACATGTGAACATCTTCTATCTTGGGAACACCTGGGAATTGTAGGCAGGGGAGGGTCACAAAGACAAAGGGATTAATACATTCTGCTCTTCCCAATTCCAAATTTCTTTTCAGCTGCAGAGAAAACGTCACATTGGGAATGATATTGTCTCATTGGTGTACCAGGACGATGGCTCCGTTTTCTCACCAGATATGATAACTTCCCATTTCCTCCATTGCTTCATCATTGTACAGTCCTGCAGAAGCCACAGCGGTAATACTCTGTACAAGGTGAGAGCCTTTTATGTGACTTCAAGAGGATGAGGCCGTCCACAGAGCCCTTTTCTGCATTTTATAAAGGCTAATTTGCACATTTGTAAAAAAAAAAAAAAATTAAAAAAGAGTATAGGTAGGGTGGCACTGCAATGGCGGACATGTACCAATGCAAAAAAAAAGTTTTATAAATAGTATTCAGTTTGGAGAGAGTCTTTTCATGCAACTTAAACGGCAACTTTAAAAATACCCAAGTTGTTTAAATACCATGCTTGGGAGGTACGCTAAACCTGAATTTTCACAGCAGTCTGATGGGGCTTGTTTACATTTGCGTTTGTCCTCTGAAGAGTGATCCACAGTGTTTGGGTGTTAATTCATTCCATTGGGCAGAATATTAATTTATTCTGGCCATTGGAATGAATGAATGCTCAAGGGCTAAACGCATAGACACGTTTACAGGCGTTTAGTCCGCCAAAATCTACTGAAGGCGCAAGTTTTTTTTTTCTGCCTCTAAGTGACTGTAAATGACTATGTGTGCATGGACACATAGGCTAGCATAGGAGACTCTTTTCATCAAACGCCTGCAGAAGCAGCATTTTCAACACCCTTTGTGCCTGAGCCCTTAACCACTTGCTGCCTGTCCACACTACATTTACTGCGAGCGGGCTGCAGCTATAGGCTAAGCCATGTACCCAAACGTCACTTAGCACATGTGCACTGGAGCTCCCGCTGGGGTGCGCAGAGGCGTGATCCCATGAGAGCTGTGTCCGCTGGAACACAGTGGGTCCTGACGCTCGGTACTGTCCCTGCTGTGAGCAGCCCGGGTATCATGTGATTGCAATGACCAACCATAGCGATCACACAATTATAATGTAAGCAAAACTGTCAAGAACGGCTTCCATTCATGACAACTTGCTTATTTTTGTGATGCTGTGATTGGTCCTCAGCTATCACATGGTATCTGGCCCCCTGTACCATGTGACTACTGTAGTCATGCATAACAATAGTACTAAGCTGTCAGAGTGGAAGCCTGTCAGGAATGGACTTGCCAGTGGTGGTGGGACAACCTTTGTGGGCTGCAGTACCAGGGCTGGCCAGCGGGTGCTCTCATAACAGGCTCACTAGCCATCACCTGAGGCTGATTACAGCAGGTGTATTTAAGGAATGGCCAGCCTGTGATCAGGGCTATTCCACCTGACTGCATCCTACCTGTGTTCCTGATTCTGCTATCCTGACCTGAAGCTATTACCTTGCCCGTTTGCTACCGACCCGGCCCGCCTGACTACGTTTAAATCTTTGGTTGCACTGTGTTTGTTTAGTCTTGCACTGCGTGCTTATTGTTTATTTACTATGGAGCCTGTGTTTCCCTGTGTCAGTCCACATTTTCTGGTCATCTGACAAAGCCATTCTTAACAATTAAAACTATTGCTTATAACAGTGATTATCACTCAGTCTGACTCCTTCACTTGTGTGTATAAACCTCAGCTTCAGTCATTGAGCTCTGCTAACAGGATAGGAAAAGAAGAAGCCAAAAGTGCCACCTACTGGACATATATGAAAATACAAAGTAATCAAATGCTATACAGTAGTTTATATTTACCTGAGATATTCAGTATTTCAGGTAAATATAAAATATATATACTTGAAATAAGAAAAAAAAAATTCTGACATTATATAAAATAAGAAGAAAAATAAACTTTTTTTAACCATTTTGGATGACTTTTTTCTGTTATAACTCATGTTTATCTGGACAAGTATTTTTTAGGTTACAGTAATCTCATAATATATATATATCGTCCTCCCAGGTCTCGGTTACAGCTCGGGATGATGTGCCAGGATTCGGGCCAGCTCTGCCAAATCCTGCCGTGTTTCAAAAGGTAATCATGATGCCAACCTTACACAGGGAGGATACCTATATATTTACAGAAGACATATGCCTTTATGATTTGCTGAAGAAATGTACATCATTCCCAAATACTTTATACCTGGGGTTCATATCTTCTCCTTCATGGCTTCTTCTGTGTGTTCTCCTATATTTGTAGGCTCCCCAACAACTACCACCGTCAGTATGATATCACTTGGGAGGTTACTCATCTCGTTTTCTGGCATGAGCACTGCATTCTGAACAGCAGTAGATTGTGTGGTAACTGCGGTCTAGCTCGGTGGTTCTCAAGGACCAGGCCACAATGTCTCTCCTATCAGGCCATAGCTTCTGTCCTCCATGAGTGGACAAGTACTCCTAACGTTCTATGTTCGAACACCAGCCAATTAGGATCCTGAGAGAATTCCAGAGCCACACCACTTAGAACCCCCAAATGGTTCATACCTGGCACTGTAGCAGAGGGGAAAATGGTGTTCTCCGGATACCCCTAGATTCTCCCCAATCACTCACGCAGCTCAATGGCAGTTTTAAAGGTGCATGCTCTGGTAACAAAGGTATCCTGACAATCTAGATGCCATGTTACTGATTGCAACAGGTGATAGGAGAACAGGGACTCCAAGAGCTTACCCCATCCATGACACCTGGCTTGACATGGCAGTATTCTCCACATACCCTCCTTAGGCCTTCTAGCAATAAGTCCAACAACAGCCCACATTCGCATAAGCCTGTTACCAGGAGATATTATAAACAAAGGTTAGGAGAATAGCAAAAGCAGAAGACCTTTTCAAATTGTTTACTGACATACCCCATCAAATCCATCCTCAGTCATCCTGATCCCAGGTAACGGCCCAATCCCCTAAATGAAAGCAAAAGCATTTGATAGTTATAAAGAGTGTGAGCGGAGGAGTAGCCTGTATTTTACAAGGGTTGCCTAAGTCCTACATCCCTAGCTAGGGATGCAAGTGATCTAAAAAGTCCTCCTCCTCTGCTTCCTTCTTTTCTAAAGGGAAGCTCTAAGAAGATGAATCCTTATGTCCTGCTATAGCTTTCCATCAAGACTGAATCCTGTTGCCCTGGACAAAACAAAACAATCTATACTTTTAGCCTCCTACCCACAGTGCCCAGGATAGAAGTGGTGTTTCCTCTAAATGCCCCCACTGGCATCCTACCTATGGGGACCTCTTGTGGTTCCTAAGACACCTACCCTGCCTATCAATTCAAGTGGTCCTGGACCCCACCTACTCTATAAACTCTTGCAGGCCAGAAAGGGGAACTAGACCAGGCATATCTGTACCATTACCCAATAGAATATGCATACATACCTTGACAAGTGGTCAGCAGGGGGGTAGTAGTAGTAGTAGTAGTGGTGTACTTCCTGCAGCATGCACTTTGTCTATCTTCCTTTATTGCTAATTATATTTTCAACTTCCAAAACAGGAACCTGGTTGGTGGCTGTGAGAAGCTGACATTTTCTTTATTATGTGTGAAAGGCAGCAAGGAGGGTGTTCCAGCATCACTATCATGACCACTGAACTGTTGTTCTGTGCATTATGTAGTCCTGATGGTTGAACTCTATAAACTGCAGAGACCATTGCATGCACTACAGAGGTCTACCTGCCCAACTCTATGCACTACAGGGGCCTACCTGCCCAACTCTATGCACTACAGGGGCCTACCTGCCCAACTCTATGCACTACAGGGGCCTACCTGCCCAACTCTATGCACTACAGGGGCCTACCTGCCCAACTCTATGCATTACAGAGGCCTACCTGCCCAACTCTATGCACTACAGGGGCCTACCTGCCCAACTCTATGCACTACAGAGGCCTACCTGCCCAACTCTATGCATTACAGGGGCCTGATGGCTTGACTCTATACACTATAGAAGCCTGACTACTGAACTGTATGCACTAGACTTGAGTACTGATTTCTATACACTGCAATGGCCTGATCACTGTGCTGTATAGACTACAGGGGCATCCAGTAACTGCTGAACGTTAAACAAATAGACACCTGACTGCTGTGCTATATAAACTACAGAGGGCTGACCGCTGAACATAGAGCATGATGAGAGCAATTATATAAGCAACAGTATACATGAGAAGAATACCTTTGACATGCTCACAGTGTGTATTATAAGCTGCAGCAAGTCAGATAGAGCCCACTTCATTTTGCTGGCTGAAGGACATCCAGCATCATCTATCACTTTCCTCCTCAGGCTGACTGTCCCTGGCCCACCCTTTTTATTGATTGGGTTTCAGTTCATCCAATTATAAAGGCTCAGGTTGACATGTGGGAGTTACTTAGGGTGGGCTGGATGCAAATACAGTTTACCTAGGAACGCCCACACCTCCAGACTGAGATGCACCCATCAAAGCATTTGGATATTTGTGTAACTCCTTCCAAGAGCCAGCCCACTGCTTGCATCAGGACTGAGGGCTCTTGAGAGGAGTACTGAAGCAGGGTGTTGTGATGTTTTCAGAAAGCTATGTACAACACCCTGCCAGTTCCTCCCATCAGAGATGTGCAGAAACCCAGTGATGATATCAGTGGGTCTAAATTAGGATGTTCCCCTCTGTACAAAGCCAACTCTATAAAGACATGCTATGTCCAGCTTGGTGTGGAAGAACATGAGCGACCTATAGAGACCCCTCACCTCAACCTTATTGAACATCTTTCGGATGAATTTGGATGCCAATTGTGAGCCAAGTCTAATCATCCAGCATCAGTACCTGGCAAATGTTCTTTTGGCTAAATGGGCACTAATTCCCACAGACACCTCCCAAAATCGTGTGGAAAGCCTTCCCTAGAGACTTGAGGCTGCCATATGAATGCCCACCATTTTGGATTGGGGAGTCCAACGAGCTTTCATATTGTAGGTGTAGGCTTGCCCATGTTGTATACATAATTTTTGTTCAATTTACCCCAATAACAAGTGTTCCTTCCTTTCCAGAACCAGCAGTTTCGAGAATTTCTTCTCACTAAATTGATCAATGCTGAAGTTAGCTGCTACAAAGCAGAGAGGTTCTCCAAGCTTCAGGTGAGGAACAAGTATTTTGGGGTATCTGATGTCTTCTGAATGGTATCTAGATCAGCACTGGACATTAAGGGTAAGGAACACACTAGCTAGAATGACCATGAAGTCAATATTGCAGAGGCCAAGGATCGAGTAGAATATTTTTCGAGGTCAAACCATTTTGCTATATGATGTCACTATTGCAAATTTTATGTGGTAATATGTGGTCTGTAGTCTATGGAAATTGCTGTATTCTGTTACAGTCTACAAAGAATGGATGGGTTGCTCTCAGTGCTATCGTAGTTGAGAAGCTTCAGGCTGAAGATAAGTTATGCAGACAACTGTAGAAGGTAATTCAGTGTTAGGGATCAGATTCTAGGTTAAGCTTGTGTCAAGGGTTGAGGGCTTAAGTGGTACATTAAGTGGTAGGCTGCTGCTGGTTAAAACCCCATCCACCCAGGGCCGGTGCTAGACTATTTTACTGCCTAGGCAAGACCAGCTACTTGCGCCTCCAAAGTACAATTTGAACCACTAATAAAGTACAAATTGAAACACTTTTAGTCAGAGATGATGGTGATGGTTCCAGAAAGTGAAAGTTACATTAACTGCTTTATTAATATGCCTCTAAGCAGGGCTGTCCTAATAACATCATGGGCCCTTGGCCAAAGTAAAGCACTGGGGCCCCTACCAGCCTGCCCAAATTTAGGCACCTACTCTCAGGAATTAAAGTATAAATAGTTGATAAACATATATTTATTAGTACTTTCAATACAATATATTTTAATTAATAAAAAAATGCCATAAATCAAAGACTAATGTACATAAAGGCCGCAGGACTGGATGGGGGAAGCAGAAGGGCATAGTACAGGAGGAGTCAGGAGGGCACACTACTGGGGTCAGAAGGGCACAATACAGGGATCAGGAGGGCACAATACAGGGATCAGGAGGGCACAATACAGGGATCAAGAGGGCACAATACAGGGGGAGTCAGGAGGGCACAATACTGGGATCAAGAGGGCACAATACAGGGGGAGTCAGGAGGGCACAGTACAGGGGGAGTCAGGAGGGGCACAATACTGGGATCAAGAGGGCACAATACAGGGGGGCAGTCAGGAGGGGCACAATACTGGGGTCAGGAGGGCACAATACTGGGATCAGGAGGCCACAGTACAGGAGGAGTCAGGAGGGCACAATACTGGGATCAGGAGGGCACAGTATGGGGCGTCAGGAGGACACAGTACAGGGGGGGACAGGAGGGCGCAATACTGTGATCAGGAGGGCACAATACTGGCATCAGAAGGGCACAAGGGCACAGTACAGGAGGAGTCAGGACATCAGGAGGGCACAATAATGGGATCAGGAGGGCACAGTACAGGGATCAGGAGGGCACAGTACAGACATCAGGAGGGCACAGTACAGACATCAGGAGGGCACAGTACAGGGGGGGGGCACAGGAGGGCGCAATACTGTGATCAGGAGGGCACAATACTGGCATCAGAAGGGCACAGTACAGGGGAGTCAGGAGGGCACAATACTGGGATCAGGAGGGCACAATACAGGAGGAGTCAGGAGGGCACAGTACTGGGATCAGGAGGGCACAGTACTGGGATCAGGAGGGCACAGTACAGACATCAGGAGGGCACAGTACAGGGGGAGTCAGGAGGCACAATACTGGGATCAGGAGGGCACAGTACAGGAAAAGTCAGGAGGGCTCAATACTGGGGGATCAGGAGGGCACAGTACAGGGGGAGTCAGGAGGGCACAATACTGGGATCAGGAGGGCAAAGTAAAGGGGGAGTCAGGAGGGTACAATACTGGGATCAGGAGGGCACAGTACAGGGGGTGTCAGGAGGGCACAATACTGGGATCAGGAGGGCACAGTACAGGGGGTGTCAGGAGGGCACAGTACAGGTTCTGGGATGCTGCCTGGGCCATCCTGAGTCAGCTTAGTAAAAAGCGTAACTTTCCAAGCAAATCTGGGACAGTTGGAAAATATGATGTACTGCAAGATTATCATAATGTCCCCATGCAGCTGGGCCCCTGGGTAGTACCCAGGGGAGCCCATGCATTACAACAGCCCTGCCTCTAAGTATTGAACTCCAGATGACTTTAGAATCATACAGTACCTATTTGAAGCCTTCATTGTAAAACGTAATGAATAAGCCAAGGTGACTCAGCATATTTGCTGGTATAGACAATGGTTGGGCTCAAAACTTTTCATACTTTCTAATTCATAGTAAACATTGCTAAATGCAGAAATGCCCAATCTTATTGAACTGCCAGGTAATGTCTGAACACTTGTCTCCTCAGGAGCGAACACGCAGCTGCCTCATGGACACTCTGTATGAAGAACTCTTTCTGCACAGTCAGACAGTCCTGGGGACTATGGAGGAGAATTCTGGGGACAAGATGGAAAACTCCTTAGTGGTTTCCTGGAGAACTTTAAAGTAAGTGAGAGAGGGATGGGCATCATTCAAGGTGAATTCTATGGATTTTTTTCCCATTTACCTTTCCCATCTCGTCTATGGGTTGGGTTCACCTCAGGGTAGTAGTAGACCATGAATTTCTTCTTTTGTATCCATCAACTTTGTGACAATGTGGTCTTCTACCCTGCTTGAAGGTTATCATAGGTAAAAGTAGACAAACTTACCGATGCTCTGGGGCACCCATGCCAGCCTGTAGTGCGACCAAATGCCAAGGCGTTGGACGTATAATAGTAGATGAATAAGGAGATAGAAATTCAAGCAAAGCTCCTGATTGTTTGATCTTGCCCATCAGCAGACATCACATGACCAGGGGACTAAAGATGGCTTGTAAGTCCCACTAAAACAATACCTACCCCCCATCTTAACCTAAGTAACTACACTGACAACAAATGGAGTTAATGGCCCAAAACCGGCCTTTTATTACAGCCATCAATAAATAAAATTTTTTAAATAACAGAAAACACAGTATAAACATGCGTTCCTGCAAGGTTCCAATAGGCATCAAGAAAAACAAATACCTGCGTCCTGCTTAACTAGGCCTCCAGCCGCAACATCACCGACTCGGAGACACCACCGCAGATACCCCCACCAGCACAACTGGAAGCCGTACCTCAGACGGGTTCCTACAAAGTGCCTTTTCTTGTGCCAACCTTAACCAACGAGGACCTTGCACCCCGCCGGATGTCCCCCAGCACCAATATGGCACAACCACCACCAAGACAAACCATCAAACAGGCGGGCGGGCGGGAAGTTTGCCTAGTGAAAACTCTCTTCAGACTGAAACCCCCTGCCACACCCTGTAAGACCACCCCTCGTAGCTCCCCCCCGACTCCTTCCTTAATTATTTTGACTCCCCTTATGCTAATAGAACTCTGCCTCTCCCAACCCCCTTTAACCCCCATCATGCCGACCCTTCGTTCAGGTCTTCTTTCTTCTTCTTACTCCGGGCCTTCCTTGACCAGTACCTAGGTCACTAATTTCTGAAAAATTGTATTAGTAACAAAACTACAATGTTGCTGTGGCAAACGTTTGCCAAAAGCGGACAACCTAAATGAAATTCATTGAGCTGCTTAGGCTAAATGTGTTTGGAAAAATAAAATGCTTTTTTCATTTAAAGGGTATTTTAGTTTATTTAATATATATTTTTTTCTATTTTGTGTATTTGATTTTTATTTGAATGCTTATTTTTCAAATGAGTTTCAATATTATGTGTCCAGTATAAGGAGGTCAATGAAAGCAGTGCCAGACCCCCCTGGCACTCAAGGTGGGGTTGCCAACCTCTAAACTTCCTGGCTGTGCTCACGCTGAAGAGTGAATAGAGGCTCAGTAATATATGTATCCCACCTATGGTGACATGTTCCCCTAAAATGAAAATGTATAACTAGTTTGCTGAATGGAACCACGTGTTATATCCTTGGACTCACTTTATAGATAGATAGATAGATAGATAGATAGATAGATAGATAGATAGATAGATAGATAGAGAGATAGATAGATAGATAGATAGATAGATAGATAGATAGGAGATATAGATAGATAGATAGATAGATAGATAGATAGATAGAGAGATAGGAGATAGATGATAGGAGATAGATGATAGATAGATAGATAGATAGATAGATAGATAGATAGATAGATAGATAGATAGATAGATAGATAGATAGATAGATAGATAGATAGATAGATAGGAGATAGATAGATAGATAGATAGATAGATAGATAGATAGATAGATAGATAGAGATAGATAGATAGATAGATAGATAGAGATGATTGATGAGATAATCTTTATTTCACTAGGTATGACAGAAGGAAAGTGATGCAACCATTTAAAGTGTTACTAAACCCACAACAGTACATTCAGTCTGTAGATGCAGTAAAGCATGCTTGTTATACTCACTGTGGAACCTAAGGGGTTAATCCTCTGCATTGTGTAAAAAGGATGTTTGATCCTGTCTTCTCTGATCCTCCCCTTCTTCCACGTTCCCCATGTCCTGATAAAACACAGCCTTGGGGACACTCTGCACATGCTCAGTTTGGTGTGTACTGCTAGAGAGTTTTTTTCTTTTTCTTGGGAGGGTGCATGTGATCAGCACAGGGCCAATCAGCACTGTCCAGACAGAGGGTCAGGGGTTATGCAATCTCATAGCGCAGTGAGAGAATGAAAACTCCTCCTACAAGATTAACCAGACTCTGCTGGACACTGATAGAAGTCACAAGACTGCTCTAACTGCTGATAAGAAAAGGTATTTAGCAGTTTATATTTACTAAACTAATTGCATTTCCATGTTCTGTATACCGTGGGAGACCGGATAAAGTGAACAGGGTCTGGAAGACCGGGATATAGTGAATGCAGGGTCCGGGTGGAGAATGCACCTGGGAGACCGGATATAGTGAATGCAGGGTCCGGGTAGACCAGATATAGTGAATGCAGGGTCCTGGGAGACCAGATATAGTGAATGCAAGGTCTGGGGAGACCAGATATAGTGAATGCAAGGTCTGGGGAGACCAGATATAGTGAATGCAGGGTCCGGGGAGACCAGATATAGTGAATGCAGGGTCCGGGGAGACCAGATATAGTGAATGCAAGGTCTGGGGGAGACCAGATATAGTGAATGCAAGGGTCCGGGGAGACCAGATATAGTGAATGCAGGGTCCGGGGAGACCAGATATAGTGAATGCAGGGTCCGGGGATATAGTGAATGCAGGGTCGGATATAGTGAATGCAGGGTCTGGGGTGAATGCAGGGCGGGGAGAGCGGATATAGTGAATGCAGGGTCTGGGGAGAGCGGATATAGTGAATGCAGGGTCTGGGGAGAGCGGATATAGTGGCAGGGTCCGGGAGACCAGATATAGTGAATGCAGGGTCCAGGGAGAGCGGATATAGTGAATGCAGGGTCCGGGGAGACCAGATATAGTGAATGCAGGGTCCAGGGAGAGCGGATATAGTGAATGCAGGGTCCGGGGAGAACAGATCCGCAGGGTTTTAATAACATTTTAATTTAGTGATTGTTGGACAGTTTGGGTTGGGTTTTTTTGGTCTTTCTTTTCCTTTCTTAGATCTGCAAGATAAATGAACCGACACACTTCAGGTATCTTAGAGTGCACCTCACTTCTTCAGGGCTTCCAAGTCTGCCATCCCACATCATATAATACACAATACAGTCTCAGCTATCTTGTATTCATTCCTGCTGGCTAGCATGCTGTATGATCTCAACAATCTCCTCCGCTCTTCAATATATTGCCTTGTTGTAATTTCTGTTTCTTTCAGACCTTTTCTCTGTCTCTGCGGAGTCCCCAGCGTTCTCGTGACGCTCTCTCACGTGGGTGTAGAAGTAGCAGCATTGCCATTGAGAGCGTCTCCGAGGAGAAAAGGTAGACAGGGCATCTGGCTGGGGGGGAGGGGGGTACCATTGTTTTAAAGGTGACTGTGACCTGTTTAATATTGAATATTACTGTGATCAAAGGAAGAAGAAGTAAAACATTGAATGCGTTACGGGGTTCAAAGATCTCCCCCACTTCTTCAGGACTCAAATACTGTATATGGGTTAGGAGAACTCAAAAAAAGGCACAGCGCAGCTTCTACAGTGACCCTCCACAAGTCCAGTCTTCAAATAATTCATTTTGTTGATTGCGCAGTTTTTTTGAGTCCTCTTCACCACATACAGTATTTGAGAAGGGGAGAGCTTTGATCCCGAAGCGTGTCGGCTGTTTCATGTCTTCTTGTTATGAATTCGCACCAATATTAAAATTGTTGGGCTCTCAGTCCCTTGGCCTGGTGCTCTCCTTAGACTTTCTATTCCTGGATTCCAAACTCTGGGTCCCCTAGCTAAGGGGTACCACCATTTGTGCTGGAAGCGGCCTCACCAGAACTATTGTGTTCTGCTTAAATGTGACATTTAATGGCAAACTGAAAATGTCAGCCAACATATATGGGTCTAGTTTTCAGACAAGTACAACCTTTCTCCATTATTACAGATAGGGCAGCCATTAGAAATCTTGGGGCCCCATGCTGTCTGCTTGACCGGGCCGCTCCCCTCACCCACTCAAAGTTACTTAAAGAGGCCCCTCTCTGCCTCTGGGCCAAGTGCTGAACTGATGGGGCCAGGACCTGGTACAGGTGGGCCGGTTCTACCCTCTATCAGCGGCCCTGATTACAGCAGAGCTGCCAAAAATTATAATGAATTTATCCAGCATTCCACATGCTGCACTTATAGAGGATTTAAATAATCGAGGTCAATGTTTAAAATTTCAAGTCCTGAGCTACTAGCCAGGCCTAAGAGTTACTCGCCACCAACAAACACACACAGAGACACCTGTACACACACACAGACATGTACATACACGCACACACACACAGAAACATGTACATACACACATGCACAGAGACACATGTACACACACACACATACAGACATATGTATACACACACAGGCACGTACAGACACGCATACACACAGATACATGTACATACATAGAAATACACACGCACAGACACATGTACATACATACACATGTAAATGCACACACACACACACATACATGTACATACTGTACACGCATACACACATGTACACACACACACACATCCCTATAAAAAGTTGCAGTACTTCGTTGTTCACTCACAGAGCCGGGTACTGCACTCTGGGTGAGGTAGAGAGCACAGCACACACTCCTTCCTTTGCTTTCACTGCGCTCAGCTATTGAGCAGTCTGACGGCTCCCAGTGCCAATGAACGATCCGGCCTGAGTTCCGAGCCTGCTCAGCAAGACGGCCCTGGGGGAAACACTCGCCCCCACCATAATTTCCACTCGCCATTGGCGAGCAGGCGAGTGGAAATTTCAAGGCCTGATCTAGGTCATCCTTTCTCAACCTTTTTTCCCCAGAGGAACCCTTGAATGAATTTTCAGGTCTCAGGGAAGCCCTCGTAGGATTAGTCCGTTGAGAGTCATTCGGAAAAATGCCCCTTGGTTGAGAATGGCTGATCTCGGTCATCAGAACTATTGCTGTGCAGCACTGGGGCTGTGATCTCAAATCCTATCAGGGACACTATCTGTATGAAGAGTACATGTCCTCCTTGTGTATACCCCTTTAGGTCTTATGGTCTCCTAACACAGCCCTAATAAATAGCAGTAAGGATAACTGGATTCCAATCTGGACATATATATATATATATATATATATATAATGTGTATAAAATTGTATGACTGAAAAAAGAACACTAGATTGTAAAATCCTTTGGGCTAAACAGTGATGTGAATGGTTAGTGATAGGTTTATTAGTCCACTTAAAACTGATGCAGGTGGATGCCACAGAATTGAACCCCCTCTACCCTCTTCTGTCTCCAATGGATGCTATCAGTGAGATCTCTGTGCTGAGTTCCGAAATCTGTACACCCACTGTGCCTATTATGAGGGTTCCCACCATCCCTGTGCTGAGTTCCCAAGTCTGTACACCTGCTGTGCCCATTATGAGGGGTTCCCACCATCCCTGTGCCGAGTTCCCAGGTCTGTACACCTGCTGTGCCCATTATGAGGGGTTCCCACCATCCCTGTACCGTGTGCCCAGGTCTGTACACCTGCTGTGCCCATTATGAGGGGTTCCCACCATTCCTATGCTGAGTTCCCAGGTCTGTACACCTGCTGTGCCCATTATGAGGGGTTCCCACAATCCCTATGCTGAGTTCCCAGGTGTGTACACTCGCTGTGCCCATTATGAGGGGTTCCCACCATCCCTGTACCGGGTGCCCGGGTCTGTACACCCGCTGTGCCCATTATAAGGGGTTCCAACCATCTCTGATTTATTATATTTAATCTTTATCCTGGAGAACATAACAGCAGGAGCAGAAACACCCAATACTCTCAGGTAGACATGTACATATCTGAGAATTATGCCCAAGAGATCTCAGAGTTGGAGTATCCCAGACCTATAAGAAACCAGGGACTGGCTCAGCCCACCAGACTCCACCTGTAATTAAAATATCACTTTGGAGTGAGCTGACCCTGTTATCATTATGTGTGTAAGCAATTTGAAAATGCAGGAAATGATTAACCCTTGATGTCTTTGTTTCTCTCCATATGTAAGAAATCTGACAAACCAGACTTTGGAGTTCTGCCGAAAACCAATGCCGTCCTACTCCTCGTCCAATAGCAGCAGCTTCTGCAGCGCACAAGGCAGCGAGAGCTCCCCAGAGGACAAGATAACGGTGAGTCCCCCCCTGTATATATGACATGCATGTCCCCCCCCCCAACCCCCTGTATATATGACATGCATGTCCCCCCTGTATATATGACATGCATGTCCCCCCCCCCCAACCCCCGTATATGACATGATTCATTCTATCACATCCCAAAAATAAAAGGAATATTTCTCATTCCAGGACGGGGGGATGCAGTTTGGAATAAATGGCTCTATATTATCAGGCCATATTTGCATTATGGAATTCTGGATTTGGATCTGGCCAATGGGGGCATCAAAGAATGATGTGCATGTCTCCACCAACTGTCCTGAAATGAGGAATAATTCTCCTATTTGTGGGATATGCGATGGAATGATACATGTGAATAACTTCTGTTCTAAGAAGGCTTTATTGTGCGATGTTACATAGTTAGTCTGGCTGGAAAAAGACAAAAGTCCATCCAGTTCAACCATTAAAAAACATTTATAATCCTACACCCACAGTTGATCCAGAGGAAGGCAAAAATCCCAGCAAAGCACGATCCAATTTGCTCCTGCAGGGAAAAAAATTCCTTCCTGATCCCCCCAGAGGCAATCGGATATTCCTTGGATCAACTTTACCTATAAATGTTATATCCAGTTATATTCTGTGTATCTAAGAAATAATCCAGGACTTTCCTACAGCAATCCACTGAGCTGGCCAGAACCAACTCCCGAGGAAGTCTATTCCACATTTTCACAGCTCTCACTGTGAAGAAACCTTTCCGTGTTTAGAGATTACATTTCTTTTCCTCCAGATGTAAAGAGTGCCCCCTTGTCCTCCGTGATGATCTCAGGATGAATAACTCTACACCGAGCTCACTATATGAACCACTGATGTGTTTATACATGGAGATCATATCCCCCTTATGTATTATACATGGAGATCATATCCCCCCTTATGTATTATACATGGAGATCATATCCCCCTTATGTATTATACATGGAGATCATATCCCCCCTTATGTATTATACATGGAGATCATATCCCCCCTTATGTATTATACATGGAGATCATATCCCCCCCTTATGTATTATACATGGAGATCATATCCCCCCCTTATGTATTATACATGGAGATCATATCCCCCCCTTATGTATTATACATGGTGATCATATCCCTCCTTATGTATTATACATGGAGATCATATCCCCCCCTTATGTATTATACATGGAGATCATATCCCCCCCTTATGTATTATACATGGAGATCATATCCTCCCCCATGGAGATATGTATTATACATGGAGATCATATCCCCCTTATGTATTATACATGGGATCATATCCCCCCTTATGTATTATACATGGAGATCATATCCCCCCCTTATGTATTATACATGGAGATCATATCCCCCCCTATGTATTATACATGGAGATCATATCCCCCCTTATGTATTATACATGGAGATCATATCCCCCTTATGTATTATACATGGAGATCATCCCCCCTTATATTATACCCCCCGTACGTATTATACATGGAGATCATATCCCCCCGTACGTATTATACATGGAGATCATATCCCCCCTTATGTATTATACATGGAGATCATATCCCCCCTTATGTATTATACATGGAGGTCATATCCCCCTTATGTATTATACATGGAGATCATATCCCCCCTTATGTATTATACATGGAGATCATATCCCCCCTTATGTATTATACATGGAGGTAATATCCCCCCTTATGTATTATACATGGAGATCATATCCCCCCTTATGTATTATACATGGTGATCATATCCCCCTTATGTATTATACATGGAGATCATATCCCCCCTTAGGTATTATACATGGAGATCATATCCCCCCTTGTGTATTATGTATTATACATGGAGATCATATCCCCCTTATATATTATACATGGTGAATCATATCCCCCCTTATGTATTATACATGGAGATCATATCCCCCCTTATGTATTATACATGGAGATCATATCCCCCCTTATGTATTATACATGGAGATCATATCCCCCCTTATGTATTATACATGGTGATCATATCCCCCCTTATGTATTATACATGGTGATCATATCCCCCCTATGTATTAAACATGGAGATCATATCCCCCCTTATGTATTATACATGGAGATCATATCCCCCCTTATGTATTATACATGGAGATCATATCCCCCCTTATGTATTATACATGGTGATCATATCCCCCCTTATGTATTATACATGGTGATCATATCCCTCTTATGTATTATACATGGAGATCATATACCCCCCTTATGTATTATACATGGAGATCATATCCCCCCTTATGTATTATTATACATCCCCCCTGGAGATCATGGTGATCCCCCCTTATGTATTATACATGGAGATCATATCCCCCCTTATGTATTATACATGGAGATCATATCCCCCCTTATGTATTATACATGGAGATCATATCCCCCCTTATGTATTATACATGGAGATCATATCCCCCCTTATGTATTATACATGGTGATCATACCCCCCCTTATGTATTATACCTGGAGATCATATCCCCCCCTTATGTATTATACATGGAGATCATATCCTCCTTATGTATTATACATGGAGATCATATCCCCCTTATGTATTATACATGGAGATCATATCCCCCCTTATGTATTATACATGGAGATCATATCCCCCCCTTATGTATTATACATGGAGATCATATCCCCCCTTATGTATTATACATGGAGATCATATCCCCCTTATGTATTATACATGGAGATCATATCCCCCCTTATGTATTATACATGGAGATCATATCCCTCCTTATGTATTATACATGGAGATCATATCCCCCCTTATGTATTATACATGGAGATCATATCCCCCCTTAATCTCTTCTCAGTAGAGAATACATTCAGTTCCTCTAATCTTTCCTCATAATTGAGCTCCTGCATGCCTCTTGGGTCAGTGAAAAATAACTGCTACCATAGTGCCATCTGCTGGTAGATTTCGGGTACTGCACACCAGAGTATCTATGCTTGAGGAAATTGCAATTTAAGGTTAAATTCAAGGAAATTTGTGAAACCAACGGATGACCTTTCCTTCTGAAAATACTGGTTGTCTGGCTGTCATGCTGACCCCTAACTTTATTACTTTGATCTTCTGTCCTGTAGCAAGTATGCAGATGGCATGTCCTAACTTTAATCCATCATTCCAGACCTGCATATTCATTCTAGGAGTGTGATTTAGAAAGAACTGAAGCCAAGAAACTGGCATTTTCAGAAGTATGTCAGCCCCATTTTTCTGCCATGACATATGTAGCACTACCCCCTTAGGAGTCACAGAATTTCATATCAGACGAATAATCGTCTGGTTTTTTTTTCTTGCATGCTAATCTCCATATCGAGAATGAAGAGGTTGATCAACTTCCGAAAATTCGTACGACTGAATAGAATTTCGAAAGTGATGTCATGTATTTGTATTGTATTTTCAGCTGACTACTGTACTGATTAAATGAAAAACGTACGATTTGGTATCGTCACATGAATTGTCATGATCAGCTCTCAAAAGCTGTGTACTAACGATCTGATTATCGGACGATCGGTCCTCGTATGAAAATTTTCATATGATTTTATTATCGTGTGTATGAGCCGTAACAGCGATCTAATTAACCATTTCAATACCGGGCAATTTTACACCTTCCTGCCCAGGCCAGTTTTCAGGTTTCAGCGTTCTCACACTTTGAATGACAATTGCGCGGTCATACAACATTGTACCCAAACTAAAATTTTAGCATTTTCTTCACACAACTAGAGCTTTCTTTTGGTGGTATTTAATCACCGCCGGGGTTTTTATTTTTTGCTAAATTAACAAAAAAAGACCAAAAATTTTGAAAAAAAAACACGTTTTTCTTTGTTTTTGTTATAAAAGTTTACAAATAAATAATTGTTCTTCATAAATTTAGGCCGAGATGTATTCTGCTACATGTCTTTGGTGAAAATAACCCAAATTAGGATGTATTTTTTAGTTTGTAGGAAAGTTATAGAGTTCACAAACTATGGTATAGATCTGAATATTGATCAATCCTGAAGTACTGACAGCCAATCTAATTTCTTGAGGTCCAAGAATGTCAGAATAGTACAGATATCCCCCAAATGACCCCTTTTTGCAGAGTAGACAGTCCGACGTATTTCATAAGAGGCATGGCGAGTTTTTTGAAGTTGTATTTTTTTTGTCATAATTTTTCGGAAAATGAAAAAATTAAAAAAATTATTTTCACTATTTTATTTTGCATACTGTCACCAGTGCAGTACAGCATCATCATATAACTGGCATGGCGGTGAACAGGGACACTGACTGGTGACAGTATGAAAAAAAAATATATATATATTTTTTTTAATTTTATTAATTTTAATTTTTTATTTTTTTTTTTTATTTTTTTAACATTTTTTTTTCATATTTTACTATGACCAAAGTAGTACAATGTTACCATAGTAACATTGTACTACTTTGGGGAAGTGATCAGTATTTTTTTTTTTTTTTTTACACAATTTGCTTATAACAAAGAATTACTTTGCTATAAGCAAGCATTTACCTGAATGACATCGATTCATTCAGGGTTTTTTTTTTTTTTGCTTAGCTGTGAATTGGCCACAGCTAATCACATGACATGTGCATGTGATCGCTGTGACCATTCACAACTAGACACTAGTATACAATGGATGGCATGAATGAAGCCATCCATTGTATACAACTGTCATGTGACCTGCTGTGATTGGTCACAGCAGGTCATATGGTACGGGCAACAGGGCCGATACTCAGATCTGTCATCGGCCGTGTCCGAGGTACACGGCCGGTGACAGATCACGCCGCTGCACGGCTCTGCAAGCGCGAAAACTGCGCATGTGCGGGAGGGCGCTAAATGGCGTCCACCCAGAAAGCTAGTGCATTTTTGCGGCCGCCAAACGGCTATTGGCCGGGCGGCAAGTGGTTAACATAAGCTAATCAACAGCCAGGCACCCAGACCAGCCAGGAGCCCACCCCAGACAG